TTTCTGCTCCTTGATGTCCCTTCCTGCTCATTTCTGTTCCTTTGTGCTCCGTCTCCTACTTTACCTTTGTGCTCCTTGCTGCTCATTTATTTTCCTTTGTGCTCCTTCTCCTACTTTACCTTTGTGTTCCTTGCTGCCCCTTTCTGCTCCTTGATGTCCCTTCCTGCTCTTTTCTGTTCCTTCTCCTTTCTGCTCCTTATCTTACGTTACCTTCCTGCTCCTTGCTGACCCTTCCTGTAGGCTGTCTCCCCATCCCTCACTTACCTGATCTGTTAGCTGCCCCCCATCTCTCACTTACCTGATATGTAGGCTGCACCCCTCCCCCATCCCTCACTTACCCAATTTGTAGGCTGCCCCCCTCCATCTCTCACTTACCTGATCTGTAGACTGCCCTCCCTATCTCTCACTTACCTGATCTGTAGGCTGCACCCCTAGTCCCCCCTCCCCATCCCTCACGTATCTGATCTGTAGGCTGTCCCTGCAGTCTGGGAGTTGCTGGCTGCATGTGCTGCTCCCCTGCGGATTCAGTCAGGAGAGAGAAGAAGGGATAAGATGTAGTCTCCTATCCCTGCCTCTCTCCACACACAGCGCCAGTATTGCAGTGTATTCTCAATCTTAACATAAAAATGCCGGCACAAGCTGAAAAATCCCTTTTTAAAAAAAAAAAAAAACAATTTGACATGAGGTATTGTCATGCTTGAGCAATGATATATATTCGTTATTATTACTGCATGGCACTGCATTTTTATACAGTTGCTAAAAATAAATGATTTTAAATAAGCAAATATTCATTTTTAGGCTCTACTGAGTGAATACAATGAGAGATACATAATAAGCATAAATTAGTAAAATAAAACAACTTAAAGGATCACTATAGTGTCAGGAAAACAAATCGGTTTTCCTGACACTATAGTACCCTGAGGGCGCCCCCACCCTCAGGGTCCGACTCCCGTGGTGCTGAAAAGGTTAAAACCCCTTCAGTTACTCACCTTATATCTCTCCTCCCCCGCCGACGGCAGTGCCGCGCGCGCATTCAAAGTGTCCATAGGAAAGCATTTCTCACTGCTTTCCTATGGACGCTCTGCGTGATGGAGGCATAATATGCCTCCAGCATCGCAGATGCGCCTCTGGTGGCTCTCCAGAAGACAGCCACTAGAGGTTGGCTTAACCCCAAATGTAAACATAGCAGTTTCTTTAAAACTGCTATGTTTACAGCTGCAGGGTTAACCCTAGAGGGACCTGGCACCCAGACCACTTCATTGAGCTGAAGTGGTCTAGGTGACTATAGTGTCCCTTTAAGTAGATCTCCAATCATGAGTGATTAACCTATTAAACTAAAATCAGTACAAATATAGCTCTTTTACTTATCTGACAGGTTATGATTCTAAATATGAAATCTTCATCTGGTTGCAAATATTAAATGATTATTACTACCAGCAAGAATGAGTCTTTACTTTTAAAAATCATGATTTAAATTGAGTCTTACTGACAGGTGATTTAAATCATTATTTAAATTGTGATAAAAATCAACTTGATTCAAATCAAATACACCCTGATTCAACCCATAACACCCCCTGAACCCGCACCAAATTTCAAATAGAGACAGTTTTAGCGAGACTGCATGAAATTGTGCACTCGTGTCCACACAGGAGTTCCCATTTTATGAAGTGTTATATCATTCTTTTGGGCACTGCTTCAAAGTGCTGCAAAACTGTACGTGGAATTATCATTATTAGCATTTATAGTAAGCCAACACTGTATGCAGCACTTTGCAATTATATAGTGGGGATACACTGATCAGTCACAACATTAAAACCACTGACAGGCAAATTACATTGATAACATTGTTACTGCGGCCTCTGTCAATGTGATTAGTACCTACTAAAAGTGGTGCAAGTAAGGACAACCAGTGAACTGGTGTCAGGGTCTTGGGCGCCCAACGCACATTAATGCACATGGGGAGTGAAGGTTAGCCTGCCTTGTCAGATTACACTAAACATAGAAACATAGAATGTGACGGCAGATAAGAACCATTCGGCCCATCTATTCTGCCCAATTTTCTAAATCCTTTATTTAGTCCCTGGCCTTAGCCTATAGTTAGGATAGCCTTATGCCTATCCCACGCATGCTTAAACTCCTTTACTGTGTTAACCTCTACCACTTCAGCTGGAAGGCTATTCCATGCATCCACTACCCTCTCAGTAAAGTAATACTTCCTGATATTATTTTTAAACCTTTGTCCCTCTAATTTAAGACTATGTCCTCTTGTTGTGGTAGTTTTTCTTCTTTTAAATATAGTCTCCTCCTTTACTGTGTTGATTCCCTTTATGTATTTAAATGTTTCTATCATATCCCCCCGTCTCGTCTTTCCTCCAAGCTATACAATAATATTAACCAATTTTAATTGGTTCAGATTACTCTAGTTTTCAAGTACATATTACCTTAGCATCCAGGGGTTGTTACTATTACCCAATTTAATTGTACTCATTTTAGCTACCTCAGAAGGATTAAGGGATGAGTCAACTCTGCCAGGATTCTGAACCTGTGACCCAAGGGTTTAACAGATTCTATTGATGATGCATTAGCCCACTGAGCTATCTCCCTAAAGAGCTACTGTAGCTCAAATTGCTGAAAAGTATAATGCTGTCCATGATAGCATGGTGTTAGAACATCGCATTGCTTTGCAGTTTGTTGTGTATGGGGTTGTATAGCCACAGACTGGTCAGATTGCCCGTGATTACTCTTGTCAACCACAGAAAGCACTTTCAATGGGGCCTGGACCATGGAGCAATAGAAGAAGGTTGCCTGGTCTGATGAATCACATTTTATTTTAGAGCAGATGGATGGCCAGGCGTGTATGCGTCATCTACTTGGGGAAGACATGGCAGCAGGATACACTATGGGAAGAAGGAAGGTCAGCAGAGGCAGTGTTATGCTCTGGGCACTGATCTGCTTGGAAGCCTTGGATCCATGTGACTGTTACTTTGACACTTACCACCTACGCAGAGATTATTGCAGTCTGCAGACCATGTACCACCCTTCGTGGCATTTTCATTTCCTGATGGCAGTGGCCTCTATCAGTAGGATAATGCACCCTGCCACTCTGCAAAAATTGTTTTGGAATGGTGTGAGGAACATGACAAAGAGTTTTAGGTGTTGCTTTGGCCTTCAGATTTCCAAGATCTCAGTCCGATTTGTGGTATGTGCTTGTACAGTGGTTCCCAAACCAGTCCTCATGGCCTACCAACAGTCCAGGATTCATGTATTTCCCTTTTTGTATTCCAATGGAGATAATGACAAAACCTGGACTGTTGCTGGGTCGTAAGGACTGGTTCTGAAACCACTGTGCTGGAACAACAAATACAATCCATCAAGACCCCACTTCGCAACTTGCAGGATTTAAAGGATCTGCTTCTAATATCTTGGTGCCAGATATCATAGGACACGTTCAGAGGTCTTGTGGAAACCAGGCCTCAATGCATCAGAGCTGTCAGTGAAAGTGTGTGTTGGATAAACAGTGTGTGTATGGGTCAATAGGAGTGTGCTTAAAAAAAGATGAAAATGTTGAATTAAAAAAATAGTTTCACATTGTAGTAATATGCATATATATGTACATATGCAGAGTATATAATACACATTGTATACACATTTATTAACAATATGTACATGCTTTTTATATATATATATACATATTGTTAATAAACGTGTCTTATATTAAATTATATATTAAGGAGCATAAAGTTCCATCTCTATCTTGTGCTAGCAGAAATGCAAGGAAATGTAAAGATTTTTATTTAAAGCTCTTTAGAAATATGGTACTTCTCCTATATGTCAATGAATCCTTAACATTAAAGGACCACTATAGGCACCCAGACCACTTCAGCTCAATTAAGTGGTCTGGGTGCCAGGTCCATCTAGGAATAACCCTTTCTGCTGTAAACATAGCAGTTTCAGAGAAACTGCTATGTTTACCTATGGGTTAATCCAGCTTCTAGTGGATGTCGCATTGACAGCTACAAGGGGGCTTCCGCGCTTCTCACCGTGATTTTCACAGTGAGAAGACGCCAGCGTCCATAGGAAAGCATTGAGAATGCTTTCCTATGGACTGACTGAATGTGTGCGCGGCTCTTGCCGCGCATGCACATTCAGCCGATGACGGGGAAAGGAGGCGGAGAGTCCCCACCACCGAAGGAACCCGGCGGTGGAGAAAAGGTATGTGTTTAACCCCTTCCTCACCCTAGAGCCCGGCGGGAAGCGGACCCTAAGGCTGGGGGGGGGGGGAACCTAGAGACCCTATAGTGCCAGGAAAATGAGTATGTTTTCCTGGCATTATAGTGGTCCTTTAAACCTGCACAATCACACTCAGCCGCTACGCAAATCCCACATTTCGGTGTTTTCCTTGGATGGGATCATTGAGGGGTGATGAGAGGAGCCATGCTTAAATTCTTGCACTGGAGCCTTGTGGTTCCTAGTTATGCCCCTGACCATAACCCCTACAGCACACTGTAGTCAGTGGTTATGGTGCTTGGAGTATTCAACTAAACATTTTTCAGCAATGCTTTCTTCATCTAATTTACCTAGCAACATTTTTTTTTTCTACCAAGTGGCAACTGCATGCGGTTACATATCCGCAGAATATGCATGTCAGAATAAACTGGCACTGTATAGATGCCAACAATAAGCCTACCCTTTCTGCCCAATCCTTCAAGCCTACAGTGATCTGTATCTCCAATAATACAGGGATGCATGGTGCCCTAACTTGGGATAGCTTTGAATTTACATCCAATTCCTTACAATTTACTCTTTAGTGTATAACAATAACTTTTAACAGTCATGATAGCAAATGCACCATAAATGGTCCTGAAATCCTGAATATAAAATGACTAACCAAGCCCAGTGCAATGTTGGAGGATAGCGAATCTCAGCAATGTTATGGAATGTTAGGAACCAATCTGCCCGGCTCATTATCACACGGGCACTAAACGGGATGGTACGGTCCGCCGTGCATTCCTTTCCCCCCAGGAAGTGGGCTGTCTTGTAGGACATTGTAAGCGGACATTAGGCATTAGCAGGGAACTTCTGGCGAGCGAGATGTTACGCTTCGCAGGCGCTGCTCGCGCACTTAGCGTGACCTGCAGGCGGTATGTGAGCTCGCAGCCCTGCGCCCTCAGCGGCTTCTTATGGACCCGGGACAAACCACAGAGGAACCACGTGGCATTAACTCGGGTACTGGGACTGTACTGCTGCAGAAATAATAACCATAACCACCTGTTATCACTGGCTAAATTAATAACCATAACCACTTATCACTGGCTGAAATAATAACCACCTGTTATCACTGGCTAAATTAATAATAACCATAACCACGTATCACTGGCAGAAATAATAACCATAACCACTTATCACTGGCTGAAATAATAACCATAACCACCTGTTATCACTGGCAGAAATAACCATAACCACCTGTTATCACTGGCAGAAATAATAACCATAACCACCTGTTATCACTGGCAGAAATAATAGCCATAACCATTGGCCACTGTTATCACTGGCTGAAATAATGGCTATAACCATTGTCCCTTGTTATCACTTCCTGAAACAATAGCCATAATCATTGCCCCCTGTTATCACTGGCAGAAATAATAGCCATAACCATTTCCCCTTATCACTGGCTGAAATAATAAGATAAGTGGAAACACAGGGTGTCCAAAAAGCAGAACCACAAATCCCATGACGCTTTACCAAGCATTAAGCTGGTAAAATATCTTGGATTTGTAGTTCTACAACAACTGGAGGGTGGGTACAGCCAATCACTTTGTAGTTACCATGATAAAGTGATGAGCAGACTCATATACACTGAACTCTACAGGAACTGTCACTTCCCTGATATTAGCACAACCAAGTAGCCAACTGAAAGTTAGCCATTTAATTGTGCTTTTTTTTTTATTCTTTAGTTTTTTTGGGTTTTTTAAATGCACGTGCTTAGCCTGGCAAAGCATGCCCTTTAGCTAAAGCGACTGTCTCCATTCCCTCCAAAATGAGTATTTCATAAAGATAAAATCTTTAGTTATTATTGGCTTTTATATAGCAGCAACTTATACTGCAGCAATTTACAATATTATAAAGGGGGAGATTTTAACAATAAATGAGACAATCACAACATTTTACAGGAGCAGAAGGGTTAATGAGGACCCTGCTCAAACAAGCTTAAAATGTATGAAATACTTCAATTGTGTTGGAATTACACTGAAATTACAACACAGTCAAAAGATATGCTAAGTCAAAGTAGGAATAAATTTGTCTTGGTATTCATCCTACAGAGTGGAGCTACCTTTTGTCAAGCCTCCACTGTAGAGAAAAAGGCTCTGTCTATGGAGGACCTCTTTGTTGTACTCTCATTCATGCACAAGATTACAATGTTGATGGGGGCTCCAGGCTGCTAAAGCACTAAGAGCTGAAGAGATCCTGCAGTAAAAGCATTGCAGCGACCATGAGGGACAGGTTCTGGATTCCCAGCTGAGCAGTCACTGTTGGGGGTACCGACATGGTGACAGAGTTGCTTTAAATATTACAGTACTGTTCACACTGCACATGTGCACATACATCACTGTTGAAGAAAATGCCAAGAGCGAATACATACATTTTCCCAATTTTTGCAAGTACGACAAATTTGCAAATTTTAGTTAAACAATCAATTTTAAAGTGGCAATCATAATTCTAGCTTGAAATGTGTAATTCCATATTTGGGCAGGTGAAAATATGAGCCATATTAACATGTGTTGTTTTTCAGCCATCTGTCTATATTTTGATAAGTTCCCAAAGGATGAAGTGCACTCGCAGGAGTTAAGTAAAGCGATTTATTTAATTGCGTGAATAACATCCAAAGTAAGTGTCATTGTCATTTCAACCCGTTCAGGCCTTTTTCAAGAACGTGGAAAAGACTTGGACGGTTTAAACTGTCGATCACATTTATTTTGGATGTAATTCACTCAATTGATAAATCGCTTTACTGAAGTCCTGTAACTGCACCTCATCTTTTGTGAATACAGTTCAACGCGAGTTTGCATATGAGTGTAATTACATGTGTGTAACTTCTTTTTTTTTCCAGGTCAACTTGCCTTATGTGAGCCATTTACGCTTCAACACTAGTTTTATTCCTGAAAATACTGATCTTGGCAGAATGGTGTATGCTGGAAATTTGGCTAAGTCAGTGCTTGGTATGTTTCTCATTTTCATTCATTTCATAACAAGTATTTCTGTCAGTAACTATTGAACTTTAGTTTATATTCGTAAATGTATTTCTCCAAGAGGGACACTCGGCATCAAAACCACTATGTATTAATGTAGACGTTTTAGTGTAAAGACCTTGTCCCTGTTGTATGACAGATGTAAACATCGCAATTTCTGAGATATGGCAATGCTTACATTTGTAAGAGAACAAGCTTCTTGTGTCAATCTACATATTGAAAGTCTTCATGTTTAGCATAATCACACTCCGCATTATGGTCCTGAATGTTAACAATTCTTCTCAATTTTATTTTAGAAGCATTCAACTATGTTTCAAATGGTTTTCAATGAGAAGCATTTTATTGGACAGGAAATGTTCAGAACAATTATCTCAGCGGTCGGAGTGGCTGCCTCAGCAAAACTATTAGTTATCCCAGCCATTGTTCACTATTTTACAAGACGTGCAAAACCCCCCCAGAAAACACCAATGCACATGGAGGAAACACAATGCAGTAGAGGGGGTGGGAGGAAAGAGATCGCGTCCCCTTGCAGGCAGACTTCTGTTGGCAGCGTGCACTGCACATTGACAGCAGACCTAATTTATACCCAAAATTTACATTAGGCTGCCAGGAACAGAGTTCTGGGCTGCCAGTGTTACGTGTGCTGGGCGTGCAACTAGCCTCCAGCACACAATTAGCAACATCTCTGTATGTGCAGTGTTTTTTTTATTTTTTATAAATTCTTTATTTTTAACGTTTTCCAGTACATTACATTTCATTCCATGCTCAATTTGGTGGTGGGGGGGGGGGAAGGGGTATCAATTGTTGATACAGTTCGTCTTTTGGTGAGATTCCAGCAAGCATTTTCCAGTCTTCTGTAGTTGCCCAGTGATGGTGTGCCGAGCGTGTCACGGGTGTGGTCTTGGTGATTTTTCGGTTTTGGGGGGGGGATATGCATGGGGGAGAGGGAGGGGAAGGGTCCCGGGTACTCAGCTATTTGTGTGCTACGGTGGGTCTGAGTTTATGTCGCCCATCCGGTTCCAATTGTGTGGTCCTGGGGTGTGTGGTGCTAGTTCTCTTGGTGGCCGGGTGGGCCCTGGGTTTTGCCTAAGTGGTATGTTGCTGGCCTCTCGATGCGTGAGGTGGTCACTGGAGGCCGGATTGTGCCGTAGCTTGTTCATGTGGGCGAGGGATTGCATGCTTAGACCAGGTGTTGGCCTATCGGGCCCGGGGGGGTGGAGGTATGGGGGGTGGTGGTTTTCTTGGGATGTACGGGCTGTGGTGGTGTAAGGGGGGTGGGCTCTCTCTGCGTTTGTATTCCTAGCCTCTGCTGGGTTTCGACTGCGTGGTTGGGAGCAGGGGCCAGTATTCCCTGGGGAAGGGAGCTGTCCCTGTTCGTGGCGTCTCGCCCCAGGTTGTGATTTAGGGCCTCAGGGGTAAGGGTTGTGGTCGCGTCAGTCCTGCTATTTGTGCGGTGGGGCTGCACCTCGGCCGGGTCCTGCTGTCCCGATGTTCTGAATCTAGACCAGCGTTTGTCTCAGTCGTTGTGCGTCCTGGCGGTCCGACTCAACCCCCGAGGCGGTGTTAGTCTGTGAGGTCGGATCAGGGGGCTAGCGTAATGGTGATTCCTGTCTCCTCCCCTTCTTGTCCGGGTTTTCGTACATGGTTAACGTCATGGGAGGGTAAGGTTGGGGGGAGGTTGTTGGCTCCCCTATCGTCCGCCTGCGCCCGCCGGGGCCCTGTGGGGGGGGCGGGCATGTGGTTGGGTTGATGGCTTTCGGAGGGCTGGGGAGGGGGGGGGAGCTGGGGGTGTCTGTGAGTGTTCCTAAAGTGTGCACCCCTCTTACCTTGTGGTTCTGGTCAAGGCAACGGTACCGGTAGGTGCTGCGTGGCAGCGGGGTGGTGAGGTCTGTGTGGTTGAAGCCAAATTCGGGCTGTTCATGTCCCAGGGGTCCCAGATTCGGTGGAACGCATTAAATCGTGTATCTGTGTGGTTAGTTCGCCCAAGTCGCGGGCTTCTTTGATCTTGTTGTTGATATTCGAGATTGTGGGAATTCAGTGGTCTGCCCAGCGCTCCGCGATCGCCCTTCGGGTAGCCAACGTTATCCGGGCCGCTAGCTTGTTTTCGCTCCAGGTAAGGGAATCCAGTGGTTTGCTGAGTAGCATCGTCCATGGGTGCGCAGGGAAGGGTTTCTGGAGAATTTGTGTTATGAGGTCGCAACTTTCCGTCCAGAGTGGCTTGAGTTTGGGGCAGTTCCACCAGCAATTTAAGTAGGAGCCTGTTCCGCCGCACAGTCGCCAGCAGAGGTTGTCAGACTTTTGGCCCATTTTGTGGAGTCTGAGCGGTGTCAGGTACCAGCGGAATAACATTTTGTATGCTTGCTCTTTGTGGGTAATGCAGACTGTCAGGGAGTTCGTTGCTTCCCAAATTTCTGCCCAGTCGCTCGGGTCCTCCGGTGGGCCAAGATCTCGCTCCTATGCGGCGATGTAGGTGAGATTAACTTGGGAGATATGTGTCGTCAGGGAGGCGTATAAGTCGGAGATTTGTCCGGGGTGTAGAGGTGCGTTGAAGCACAGTTTCTCGAATGCTGTCAGGGGTGAGGTCCCTGCCTGTTTGTATGTGCAGTGTTTTAAGCATAAACACTGCACATACTGACTTATATCACCATGACCACTTCAAATCACTGACGTGGTCAAGGTGTTAGGAGTAACCCCTTAAACAATAAAAAAAAAAAATACACATATACTGTAATATGAAATAAATCTGTTAAAATATCTTAAAAGTGTAATTGAACCACTGACATACGATAGAGCTAATAAGCTATCTTTAACTGCAGCAGCCTTTGGGCCTGTTTCGGCAGCCACTTCCCTCAATATAGTATACAATATAATATAAAATAGCTTTATAATATAACCTAAAATATACACCTCAATTAACTCGCTGCATGTGAATTAGACCAGTAGAGTCTGTGTGAACTAACCCACTGGCTGTGAACAAATTGAGCTGTATATTATAAGCTCTAAATCACATGAGTGTACTACCTGTATATCCATGTCATGTTTATACTACACTGTTATATTTTCACCTAGTTTGTTGAGATATTCTACATATTGAGAAGCATTTCGTACCACATTGTAGCAAGTGACTGCCGAAACGAGTCTAAAGGCTGCTGTAGTTGGGTTACAGCTAATAAGCTACATCTATGTGAGTTTTTTCATATAACACTATGTTGTGTGTGACAGGAACACGGTAAATTGATACCCAGCATGGGATCCAGACCTGTCCTGGTATGTTGTCCATCCCTTCTCCACCAGCACCAGAGTCCCCCCCACGATTCTCCAGGGTAATGTCTCATTCTCTACCTGCAGGCTGATATTACCTCTGACTGCTTCTTCTTGCAGAAAAGAATCAATTCCTCTTAGTGCTCTTGACACAATCTTTACAAACATGCTTTTGGCTCACAGGTCCACAGACTGTCGCCATGCCCCTCCAAATAACAGAAACCACACTCCCATTCAGGGGGGCAAAAATACCCAAAAGACTTTATTCACCACAAGGAGTAGCCTCCAGCAACACATCATTAAACATACACAGATCACAAAAATAGTAATAGTGAAGGACATTCTCACAACAATAATAATAGTGAAGGACTTCAATGGCACTGACCCCACACTCAGATTGCTGCTTCATGGGTGAGGAGTATCTAATTTAAAAGGCACTTTATAAAAGTGCAGATTTTCTGTGAGAGATTGGCACATTATAATTAAATTTTTTGCAGTTTGGAGTGTACTTTTAATCACCAAGGCCTTTTTGGCATTTTTAAGACACATATTCATTCTACCACAATGTTACCCTTTCTGTTTAAATTCACTCATACCATATATAATTTTTAAATGAGAAATATGGCTTACTTTTATTACCCAATATGTATATTTAATACAATATTAATATGAATAAAATATTAAAAATGGGAAACTAGATCCCCAGATTACTTAAAGGGTTACTCCGAACACTTTTTTATTAAATAGTTTTATAATTTATTTAGAGTGCCATATTGGGCATTAGTTATTAGGACCCCCTCTCTTAAAACACTATAAAATAAAGTATAAGAGTCTGAGACAGTCTGCAGGGAGGGCTCATATAAAAAAGAGAGGATAGGGATATCAAGCAGGAATCTTGCAGATATGCTCCCAGCTCTGTCTAACAGGGAAGAAGTTGACTATGTTTGTCACCAACACACTCTGCTCATTGACAACAGACATATTTTTTTAGACCAGAATTTACAGGCTGGAACAGAGTTCCAGACTGCTTAAGGCTTGTTTGCTGGTGGTGTAACTAACCCCCAGCATAAAAGTGCAAATATCTCTGAATGTGCAATGTTTGAAACAGAAACGCTACACTTACAGACTCCAACTACCATGACCACTTCTAAAAGCAGAAGTGGTCATGTAGGTTGGAGTAACCCTTTTAATAAAGTTGTTATGACACTTTTAATGTTACTTTGCAATCATTGTGGCAGTAAATCAATTAGTAAAAATGCCAGTTGTTGTAGATGCGCGTGAATAACTTACAATTGCATTTTTTCCCCCTCTTTTCACAGGTGTCAAGTTCTTCTCATATTCCACCAGCGTTTTCACTGTCTGCATAATGCCCTACATTATGCTTCAATCTGGCATTGCAGTGGATAATTTAGCTTTGAAAATAGCATTTTGTAGCATTGTAGGTTTCTTCACATTTGTCACACCAGTTACCCTGCATATAATTACGAAGGGCTATGTGGTGCGGTTATATCATAACCGAGATAAAGACACTTATACGGCAGTGACTTATAATGCTCTGCTTCGTGAAAAAAGGACAATATTCAGTCAAAAGGATGTTGAGATCCCAGGAGTAAGCAAAATGTTCACAACATTTTACGCCGGAAAGAAATCAATGCTTGTGAATCCAGATCTTTTTCCAAATCCTCAGGACTATAGTCATCTTATGGGATATGACAAACCTTTTACATTCAATCCTGAAGAACTGGAGCAGTCCTCAAAGAATGAATAAACAATTTATGTTTACAAGTGTGTTCTTTTATTTATTTTAAAAAAAGATTGATAATGTGTCTGAGTATAACTGATTTTTGCGGTATGTAAAGGAACACTCCTGGCACCATAACATTATCAAAAATAACCCCAAATCTGTGTTCCAGCCCCGGATCACTGACTACATGCATCTTGGTGGGAGTGTGAAGGAATTGAAATCTTCTTTCGGGGAGAAGATGAGGGCTTGCAAAAACTGCAGTCATAAGTACTGCATGTATTGCATGCATTTTCTAGATATTTCTACAAAGACGACATGCAGCACAAAAATGTATACATTTTTTTTTTTTTTTTTTTAAATGGATGTTCCTTTAAGATTGCCTTTCTGCTCACCACTAATATGCCACCTATGCAGTTTTTCATTTTAAATCTCTCTGAATAAGAAAATATAAATAAAATAAGTTGCTTAATTCAAAATTGTGAAAAAACTTTTTTTTTTTTGCTTGAGTAAGGCACTTCCTGAGTTGAGGCAAGGCCCTAGTATGAGTGAGATCTTAAAGGAAAACTGTAGTGCTAGGAATATAAAGCTGTATTTCTAGCACTATACTGCCCTCCCCTGGCAGTATAAGGGTTAATAAACCCTTACAGTACTCCTCTGATCCCAGCGCCAATGTCCCTCTGGGTCAGCAGCACTCCGCCTCCTCTGAAATGACCTGATGGGGGGTGCTAATGTGCATGCACAGCAAGTGCATTACACCAGCCCCATAGGAAATCATTGCTGTAATGCTTTCCTATGGGAAAATAGCTGATGTCCAGCGTCAGGAGACCAAAAGTTGTTGCTCATGCAGGAAGTGCCTCTAGTGTCTGACAGCCACAAGAGGAAGGCTTTTGCCCTGCAAGGTAATTTTAGCAGTTTCTTAAAAACTGATGATTACAATAAACTGAAGTGGTCTGGGAACCTATAGTGTCCTGTTAAAGGAACACTAGATCAGTGTTTCCCAAACCAGTCCTCAAGACAAACCAACAGTCCAGGTATTGTCTATTATAATAATACAGGGAAATGCATAACTCTTGGACAGTTGGTGGGCCATGAGGACTGGTTTGGGAACCACTGCTGTAGACACATAAAGTACTTTAGCTTGCTTAAGTGCTTTATGTGTCGGGAGTCTGTAATATTTGTGACAGTTTATAGAAATGTTGACAAATAATATTCTGCACTTTTGTAACTGGGGCAGAAACACCTACCCGGCTCTCAAACAACCAGGGAGGTTTTCTTCCTCTTCCAATAACTTCACAAAGTTAATGGAAGCGGTAAGTACACAAGACTAATACGTGCCTGCCTTCTCTCCTCAGGGACAGACTACTACTTTTCGGTCTATTTAATGGACCACTATAGTGTCAGGAAAACAAACCATTTTCCTGGCACTATATCGTCCTTAGGTCCCCCCTCCCGCTGGGCTGAAGGGGTTAAAAACCCCTTCAGCCAATTACCTTAATCCAGAGCCAAGCTCCCTAGGTGCTGGTGACCTCTCCTCCAACACCAGCTTCGAGCGTTCCATTGGACGTTCTGCATGCTCAATGCGATTTTCTCATAGAGCATCGCGGAAGCGCCTCTAGCGGCTGTCAGGAAGACAGCAACTAGAGGCTGGATTAACCCTGCAAGGTAAACATAGTAGTTTCTCTGAAACTGCTATGTTTACAGCTGCAGGGTTAAAACCTGGGGGACCTGGCACCCAGACCACTTCATTGAGCACAGTGGGAGTTGTGATATGCACTTCATTGAGCTGAAGTGGTCTGGGTGACTATAGTGGTCCTTTAATAGTGATTTAAAAAAAAAAGTGGTGGGGTAAATGGGGTGTTCCTTTTATGTTTCTTGCAGCGTCACATGCCAGAAGGTGCGGTTTGTGGCAGATGCTGAAGCCCCCTATTTGCCCTAACTCAAGCCATTTCTGCCCTCACTTTGTCCGGCACCAGCCCTGAGCGTTAGTTCACTGTCTCTTTTTCTCTCTCTCCCTCTTTTAAGTCCACTTCAGTGTGAATCTCTGTTATGACATCATATGCACCAACAATATGGAGCTCCCATCAAAGGGAAATATTAGTAGAGAAAAGAGGGATGGGGGGATTTGAACAGAAGTATGTACATCTACAAGGTATGGTTTTAGCAATTGTCACTTTCTTCTTTACGGGTTCTGTCATCCGACTCATCGAACTAACCACTACCCCACCATATTTCTTTTAGGAAATCAAGAAAACTATGTATATCATAACTTGTAAGGCATAAACTAATGCACAGTCAAACTATAACAAGAAGGGAGATCACAGGAAAGTTGGGAGTGGAGTTTTCACAAACTCAGTGTGAAACATGTTAAGAACACACCCTCCAATGTTTCATGGTGTTCCAAAAAAAAAAAAAAAAAAAAGCCAACTGCCCACAACAAACATGGCGCTGGGTTTCTCGTGACGTCACACTCTTGCGACCAGCTTTTCTCTATGCATGCGTCAGGGCAGCACAGGCTGCACACACGTGTGAACCGAGTCCATGGCGGCTGCTCCAGCGGTGGAGCTGGGTTTTGTCCAGGAGACTGAATCCCTTCGGCTCCTCAGTCCCCATTTCCCCAGTAAGGCCGGCGGGCGCCCTGCCTGGCTGGGAGAGGTGGGAGTGCCTGGCCCTGAATCCCTCCAGTGTGGCCTTTGCCTGAAGCCCCTGGCCTTCCTGCTGCAGGTATACGCCCCATGCCCGGGGAGCTTTCACCGCACCCTCTTTCTGTTTTGCTGTCGGAGCCCCCAGTGTCACAGAGTGGGAGAGACTGGCTGTTTTAAGGTTTTCCGAAACCAGCTCCCTCGAAAAAATGACACCTACTCCTACGACCCTCCTCCAGAAGTGCTCCCTTCTGATGGCTCAGGCAGCCCAAGCTTTAAACTGAAATGTGGGCTTAGCCTCTGCAGGGTCTGCGGCTGTCTGGGGCCCAAGCAGTGCTCAAAATGCCACAAGGTTAGCTATTGCAGCAAGGAGCATCAGCTGTTGGACTGGAAAGCACAGCATAAAAAGCTCTGCAGTGAGCAGCAGGACCTGTCCAATGCAGCTCTTCCAGATCACAACTTCTTATTCCCTGAATATGAGATTGTTACTGAACCTGAAGAACTGGAGTCTGACTCTGAAAATGATGATGATGAGGAGCAGCCAGGGGTAGATAAGGCTGCAGATGGCCTTATGTCTGGTGAAGCCTCCCTGAGTGACAACCTAACATCTGATGTCAAGGATCTAGAGGCCATGGCTAGGCATGAGAGCACAGATGATGTGGTATTTAATCTTTTCAAAAAGCGCATTGCTGCAGAGCCAGACCAGGTTCTGAGATATTGCAGAGGAGGTGAACCATTGTGGATGTCAGCCCAAAATGTCCCAGCAGCGAATGATATTCCAGACTGCCAGTGTGGAGCAAAGAGGGTGTTTGAATTTCAGGTTATGCCACAGCTACTGAATCATCTTAAAGTGGACAGCCTTGGAGAAAGTATTGACTGGGCTATTTTGGCAGTGTTTACATGTATCAATAATTGTAACGCAGAAAAGGATTACTTAGTGGAATTCTTATGGAAACAGGATGTGGTGGACAGTGCCGTATAAAATACTTTATTTTTGCATTATGACAGCAGCACTTCATGTTTTGCTAATTTATACAGACATTTTTTAGAGATTGTCTGATTGTACATATTGTGTGTGTTTTATTTCCTTCTTTCCTCTTCATAAATCATTTACTTTCAACAAAACTGATTTGAGTGTCTTCTAAAGAGAGGACATGTGTTTGTTTTGTTAAAGAGGCACTCTTCGCATTTAATCTCCCAGATCAGTTCAGTGGTTTAGGAATTTCCTGGAAGTCATAATTTGACCAACCGCTTTCATGGTCACGTGTCCAAAACAGTTCCAGAGAATCAGGGCTTGCGGTTGGTCTAGTTCGGTAGTTTTCAAACACGAACAAACTACCGAACAGAGTCAATAGTCTTACCCTGAAGCTTGATCGCCTTGTTTGTGGGAACGTGTCAACGAACAGTGCCTTTCAAGTGTTGTAGAACCGAACACAGGCGATGCTGGAAGTCCAGCGGTGTTCGGGAGTTTGTTTCCCTTTTCAGTTCCCTGAGATTCATGCCCAAATGCTGCTGCGTGCGTTCGCAGGAACAAGATGGCCCCCACCTCGTGGTCGTCCATAGGAATTGCGGCCACCCAGACGAACGTAGTCTTTTGGTAAGAGGCAGGCCCTCCAAGAACACGTGATGAGGCTCAGTTCATCACATAAGGGTTTAGTGAACAAAGACCTGATGAGGGAAGTATCCTACCTAGAAAAGAAGTATTGAAAAAAGAGATACAGATAACAGGGTTAAAGAGAGAATATTAAGCCACTCATTAGAACCCTGTCAAATTACACCCTGTCAAGTAATAGCCACCATAAGTCATTAGTTAGAAAGTGCTGACAAACAGAACAATGAGTTAACTATATTTATAGTTAGACTAATAAGATTGATTCATAAAACGCATCTACATTATGTATAAAAGGCATCAAAGTGGGCCCATAAAATGGTATACAATATAAGGAAAGGGGATACAGCTGAAAGAGAGTTTAGAAACATAGAGTGCCATTTTAAATAGGGGGGCTAATAGTAATGTGAAGAGAGATTCCATGAACCCACAGGTTCGAAATAGTCAGTGAGTTGGCATAAAGCAACAGAGCACAGTGGGAGATGTGGTATGCACTCTCATTTCACTGGTACACACCTTTGATAAGAATAAAACGATCCTCATACATACATTATTATGGATGTGCATGGATAAAAAAATGTTAATTTTCAAATATTGGTTTGTCTGAAATAAGGAAAATATCAATTCGGATGAACTGGAAATTCTGAAATTTGAAAAGATTTTTATTGCTCTTCTATTTAATTGGTTTAGTAGATAGCTCACTAATTTTGTATCCTTACACGTGACTGCCATTAACATCTGGAAACACCTCTATGGCCACTAGAGGTGTTACTAGTCAGTAAGGTAAACACTGACTTTTCTTTGAAAAGGCAGTATTTACATTAAGAAGCCTGCAAAGGATGGGCAGTAGACACCAGAACTACTACATTAAAATTTAGTTGTTCTGGTAATTATATTGTCCATTTAATAAAGTTATGTCTAATAAAACAAATAAGTGGATGTGGGTAACACGAAAGAGAAAGGAAAGACATTAGAAAAGTCACAATGGATGACCTACTATCATATCTCCAGACCCCCCCCATGATGAAGAAGCCAGACACCAAATGTATCGCCTTGATAAAGAGGAGGTGCTAAAATCCCAACCCTACTCTTAACCCTAACCCTACTCTTAACTTACTCCTAACCCAACCCTAATCCTAACCCAACCCTACACCTAACCCTACTCCTAACCGAACTCTAACCCTACATCTAACCCAACACTTACCCTAAGTCCTGAAGTCAAACCAAAGTTCAGAATTTCGGAAGAGTCGAACCGAAGTCCCGAATTTCGGAAGTGCCGAACCAAAGTGCCGAATTTCGGAATGCCAAACTGAATTTTTGGCCCATGCACATCCTTAAATTCCAATGATCCCAGCCAAGGAGGTGGGTCTGGGGGTAGAGCCAAACACTGCACTGGCCAATCCGCATCTCCTCATTGAGATACATTGAATTGCATTGCTATGCCAGGGGTTTTGTCTGGAAGGGGTGCTGACCAGTGCAACAACCTCTATAGGGTGGAACCCAGAATGCAAAAACAAATATACACACAAATCAAGGCAAAAAATAAGTGTATTGATAATTAAGTAAGGCAGTTAAATAAAATACAAAAACAACAGATAACTGAGTGTAGCAGGAGGGCCTCTGGAAACAGGGTAGGCAGGATAGGCCTTTCTGGAAACAGGGCAGGCCTCTGAATACAGGACAGGCAAGGCAGGGCAGGCCTCTGGATACAGGACAGCCAGCTCAGGAACACAGGGGGACAGCTAGCTCAGGAACACATGTAGACAGCCAGCTTAGGAACACAGGGGGACAGCCAGATAGCACAGGAACTCAGGATAAAAGGACCAGACAACCAACAAAAATTAATAAACTTGCAAACAATAAAGGGTGAGGCTCAACTAAATAGGTAGAAGTTAATTAGAAAGTAAGGCCAGCTAGAAACAGAAACATCTCAGTCTGGCTGCAGCAGCCTGGAATAGCACCACAGACAGGTAGTGGCACTGTGAGGTATTGCACCAGACTGAGAATAAATCGAATCATGACACTCTATGCGAAAAGTTCAGTGTCTCCATGCAGAGGGTGGAAATACTGAATGTCAGTGCTATGCAGCACTGACCCAGGAAACACCTGTAGTAGGCCAGCAGAAAGCCTGCAGAGACTGACTATACTCACTAGAACAACTACATTAAGCTGAAGTTGTTCTGGTGACTATAGTGCCCCCTTAAGGGAAAAGGGAATAGCAATCATTCCCTATCTAGACGACTGTTTGCTAAAAGCCAAGTCAAAACATCTGCTACAAATCATGTTAAGACTACAATTCATTTCCTGAAATATCACGGTTGGATCATTAATCGAAGAAAGCCACAGCTCTATCTTTCTACAGTGGGCAATATCTAGGTTTCCTTACAGATTCAAACACTATCTCCCTCCATCTTACTCCAGAGAAAAGGTTAAGGAAGTATCATTTTTGCAACAAGCAATGTGTTCCATTAGGAGGGAAATGAGTGTCCTGGGTATTCTAACATTCTCCATCCCAGCTGTAAAAAAGTAAGAGGATTTGGATATGGAGCTAGTACTCGTCAATCTATCAAGTCAGCTTGCATGGTGGAAAGAAGAAAGCTTCTTCTCAAGAGTCCTTCTTTCAAGTAATAATAGTAACTTATTTTAACCACAGACACTTCACAGCTAGGTTGGGGAGCGCATCTACATTCTCATATTGTTAGGACATTACAGTGGCCCAACATGCAGAATTAAGTGAAACATGGAAAAATAATGTTACCGCACCTTAGAATGGTATTGGTATGCAGGGATCATGTGGTTTCAATATGTGCGTGTGCGCCTATGACGTGGCGACACATGCACATCCGAAAGACCCCTAACCCCGCTGGAGGTGGGGCTGCAAATGACTGTGGTATCGCAGCAACTGGCCGGCCATAGCTTGAAACGAGAAGCTGCACTTACTAAGGCGGTATGTACCTGATCCCATGACCTTTTCATGGCGGCTAGGTCCTCATCCAAGGCAGGAATAGCTGTACCAGAGAACTCAGAAGGCAAGACAGCAGGATGGAGACCATAAGTAACATAGAACAGACTACGACCAGACAAGTCATGCATAGCATTATTCCTGACAAATTCGGCCCAGGGTAAGAGGTCAGATCAGTTATCTTGGGCATCATTAATAAAACATCTCAGGTATGTTTCCAGAGATTGGTTAGCCCTCTAAGCAGCATTATTAGTTTGGTGATGATAAGATGGTGAAATGGACAAATCTATACCCAGCTGCTTAAAAAAAGGACCTCCAGAACTTAGAGACAAACTGCGAACCTCTGTCAGAGACAATGTTTCGAGGTATATCATACAACCTGACTATTTGTCTAATGAATACAAAGGCTAGATCCTGTGAGGAAGGTAACTTCTCAAGTGGAATGAAATGGACCATTTTCGAAAAACAGTCAACAACCGTGAGTATAGTGTTATATGCCTTAGAGACAGGTAACTCAACTATGAAATCCATGGCTATATGAGACCACGGAATAAGTGGTACAGGTAGAGGTTGTAATAACCCACATTTCAATAGGCAAGTGTTTACATATGCGATAACATCGCTTCTGACAGAGGGTCACCAGAACTGTCTAGTAACCCCTGCAATGTTTTTGCGTATACCTGGATGACCAGCCATCACGTTTTTATTGAACATACTGAATATAGCATTTCTTTCATATACAGGAACAGATAGGGTTCCTGACGGTTTAGTACTTGGTAATAAAGACAATAGTCTATTGCCCCTTGGGTGAGAATATCACAACAGGGGTGGTCAGTACGTGTGGCACCCTGTCACTCTGGGCATTAACCCTGGAAACATTAATATAAAAACCAAAGTGAGGAAATCCTTATCAAGGAAATTCCTCTTGGGTACTGGTGTATGAGAAGCTGAAGTAAATAAGTGCAATAGTTAAAACGTAACGAGGAAAGTATCTATCATGTATATCAAGGCACAGAATATCATTAAAGTGGATAAACTAATAGGCTTTATTTTAATTGCCAAAAATGTATTAGCCACAAATTATTCCAACTATATAAATAAGAAGTGGCTTACTTGTGGGTGCTGGCGTGGAGGATGCAGCCGATCTTCCTGCTGGCTATCCTACTGGAATAAGTGGACATAGCAACGGTTTCCCCCCCTTGCTGGTGGGGGTTATCCCGGCCCTAGCAATCACACCCTACTCACCAGACCCTGGTGGCCCTGCGACTCAGCACACGTTCCTGCTGGATGAATCGTTGGGAGCCAAGATGGCGGGAGCAAGACCTCACACCATGCCAGAGGGCCCTATGGAATCCACTCTCACAGGGCTGGTTGCAATCTTTATGGAATTCTGGCACAGGGTTGTGGAGAGGTGAATGGGTGTAAGCAAGCAATGCTACTCACCCCCTGCAGCTGAGGGCTCCATGCATGATCCAAAGCGTTAAAGCAAGCCCATACTTAAGCGCCGGATCAAACAAGCCCAGACATCCACTGCACATCTGTGCCCTGAGTTGCCCAGGACCCGTTACCGTATTCCCAGACTGAAGGCCTCGAGGGGTATAACCACACAGCAAATCCCTCACCATGGGAGAATGTACCAATGCTGCCACTCTGTGAACAAAGCCATCCGAGATACAGCTTATGGTGCTACAAGAAAACTGAGTAATGGGAACTGTATGCTGGCTCTTACTAAGGCCTGGGTTCAGCAGGGGCCCACTGAAAGTCGATGGGACTCAGTCTCGATGTGAGACTCCAGTAGCAAGCGTGGGTATCGGGTAAACCCAACAAAAGCATAGTCGCACGTGGTGCATGAAGTTGCTTGACCCCTCGGATGCACCCTATAATTTGCCATACTTAATATGTAATAATAGTTCACTCAGCTGAGGCAACAACAACAACAACACTACTGATCATAGCCTAGTGTCAGTTTGAATTTTATTTTGTGGGGAGCTGGTGTTTGCTAATGAACAGCTGGGTATAATCTTTCATGTTTAACTTCTTAATCTTATCCTTATATAACCCTGTACACCCTTCAGTTATGTTCTTCCTGTTTCTCGTGACTCTTAAATTAATGTAAAATGAGACCTTCACACTCTAAGTATGCAGTGCTGAGCTTTTCAATGTATGACCATAATCTACATTCAAACCTATCTTGTACCTGATACATGATTTTTCTATGTCTATGCAACGCTGCTACTACTGCTATAAAAGTCTGTATTTACACCTTGTGTCTCAATAAAACAGTGATTGACAAAAAGTGGAAAAAAAAATTAAAATAAAAAAAAAGAAAGATCAAGGTAACAAAATAATAATGACTTGAACACCCAATGACAGGACGTCTAAAAACGGAATGAAAGATCCATTGCTGTGAGATAACGGCGGTGAGTATTAACACCAAGGATATGCAGGGTAGGCTCAGGACTATTTTATACTACCATCCGGAGTCCTGATTTCCTGCCATTCTGCGGGCAGTGGAGGGAGATTTTCAGCCCCCCAATTACATTGGGGGAGGTGCCCTTGAGCGCATTATATGTCTACATGTCTATATCTTATGAGTGCACCTTTATACAGCGTATATAATCTGTTAAAATTGTATTGCGCTATGTTCTATTTATGTTTTTTTTAGATTTTGCAGCCGTATCCCATTTTTGTTTTGCTTAAATCTTGGTTTAAAAGATCACTGTCTGGGAAGTGATCCTTGGGTGGCTGCTCACCTGATTTATCTGATTACATATTTATTTCACACTATTCACATGTGATTGTGGTGATAGCATTGTTTTTGTCTTATACAGTGAAATCAAGACTGTTCTCAACGCCCCGCAACATTTCAGGCCATGGATTCCAGGAAAAGCGATATCCAGTCAGACAACACAACTGTCTCATATATAAAAGCCAAGACGGAATGAGAATTCATCTCCTCTGTTTGGAATTTATGGCATGGGTTCAGAGAGAATTAGAAGATTTGGCAGCTGTACACATAAAGGGAACAGAAAATACAGTAGCAAACGAACTCCGCAAGTGGATTCTTCACCCAGACCTATTTGCAGTTCACATCAGAGGATTCGGATTGTCAGTGGTAAATCTTATGGCCAGAATAGAGAGTTGGACAGTGCCCATGAAATGTCCATCAAGTAGGATTTTATGCTGGCGTACGTGTTCCCTCCAGTAGCCCTAATTTCCAGGGTCATCCAGAAAATCAGGACAGAAAAAGACCAAGTGCTTGCAATCGTTTCTAAGTGGCCTAACAGAAGTTGGTTCTCGGAATTAAGGATGGTGGCAATAGCATTCTCTGCGAGAGAACAAACATCTTCCTTTCAAAACCATTCAAATGGTCAGAATGACAGCATGGCTGCTGCCAGGTTGATTCTTAAACATCATGGTATCCAAGTAATCAGATTTGATCTACTCCTGGGTTCCACTAGAAAGTCGATATCAAAAATCTATTTAAGAACCTGAAAAAGATATGTTCACTGGTGTGATTATAATAACTGCTTAAAGGTTTCGCCATCCACGGATACTATTCTTCATTTCCTTCAAGATGTTTTTTTAACAGGCCTTAGTACTTCCACTCTAAAAGTGCATTTATCAGCGTTGAGCCATTTCCTCATCCAAGATTTGGCTTCTGATTTATTGATAAGAAGATTTTTCAAAGCCATTTTACTCCTAAAGCCTCCTCGCAAATCCTTTGTTCCATCTTGGAATTTATCTTTAGTTCTGAAGGCGCAATGCGAGCCACCGTTTGAACCTCTAGAAGACATCCCAGTGAAATTTCTCCATTTAAAAACTGTGTTTTTAGTGGTCATTACTTCGGCAAAAAGAGTTGGGGAAATCCAAGCCCTTTCCGAGAAAGGAGTGCAAGGAGTTAATAATTTTCCATTCGGATAAAGTCATCTTACATCCTAAACCTTCCTTTTTGCCAATCGGCCTATAATTCTACCATAATTTTGCAGTTCTGCTTCTTCTCCTCAAAAACAAAAATGACATATGTTGGATGTCAGAAGAGATTTGCATATATAACTTCACAGATCTGATGCTTTCAGGAAATCAGACCATCTGTTCATTAGTTTCCAGGGTAAAGAAGTCTCTAAAAACCAACAATCGCCAGGTGGCTGACAGAAACTGTAAAGTTATCATATAATAATAGCTGTCTTCAGTCTCTTGTCTCAATTTATCCTTCAAATGAAGATATCTGCAGGACAGCTGCATGGTCAACATTTAACACCTTCATAAAACATTACAGGATAGACATATTCTCATCCTCAGAAGCTGCTTTTGGGTGTAGGGTGCTCCAAGCGCAGTTTTTCTTGAAATCTTACCCTTTACTGAGTTCCTGCGATCTTTCTATACCCCACTTGTGCACTGCCAACATATGATAGGGAAAACTGAATTTTTACTTACCTTAAATATTTTTTTCCATAATATGGTGGTATTACAATATCCCTCCCTGATTATATTTTGGCATTTAATCAGAGTCCATATGTCTTTCTTGCTATTAACTGATCTTACTTGGGCTTGTAGTGAAATCTATACATTAAGTAGGATTGACAATTTTAAACGTTTTATTTCTTTTAGATTACTTGTCCAAGCATTGAAAGCACAGCCCACTTGTGTACTGCCACAATATTAAGAAAAAATTATTAATGGTTAGTAAGAATTTCTGTTTTATTTTTGGTTGAGCGAGGGATTGTTGTTAGTGTGGGGTAGTGAAGAAGTTAAGTAATAGTTTCACAACATTTTCCAGAAATGTTAATTTCTTATGATTTAAAATAGGATGACCTGTTACCCACCCTACTTAGTGAAATAGCTCACAGATTGAAAGAGGAACTTACTACTGCAGCACTGTACATGTTTCCTGTTCTAGAAATATAATTTGATCAATTTTTACCAAACAGTTTATTTGCAGTAATCTGATTTTGCAGATATGTTTGTATACTTGTTATTGCTGTCTCTGATCAGTTTTGTGGATCTTCAAAAAAGTAAAATGTACACACTCTGCCATTCACCAACCATGGACATATATTACACACTATGTGGTGAGTACTAAACTACTTTCTCTTTCTTTTATTGACAGTGAGAACCACCAAGGCACTTTCTATGTATTTTAGAAAACCAGATGTATTTTTTTTATAGCCTGAGCAACTTCCCTAGAATTTACCTGAAATGTTTTCTTATTGTAGCAAGTAAAACTGATACATAAGTCAGTACAAACACTCTTATTTGACACAGTTACAGGTGAATTGTCACTTCTTTGGAGTTTACACCATTTATTAAAATATTGCAAATCAACTATAAGTAGTGTTAACTTTTTTCATGAGATGTTGTGTTTTATTTTATTTAACAATTTAGCAAATTACTTCATAATCCAGTTAGGACAAGGCAAAGAAAGGTCAAATACTGCAAATGAAGAGGAAACATAGAAATATTGATTTATTTCTCCTCTTCTCTCTGTGCCTTCTTCATAAAGACCAGCGACAACTAGTTGCGAAGGGCAAAGCTTATAACAATTATTGGAATGTGAGCCATGATCTAGGTGCCCAGTTTCAGGATAAATAGGTACGATTTCTACATTTAAGTTTTATTTTTCATATCTCATAAATACATTTGTTTTTTTCAATCTTTATTTTTGTTGTGCAGGTGATAATAGGGAAGCTTGTCATGCCACGACAGCAATAACTAACACAGCAAAATTCTACAGTATGAAACAGTAGCATGACATTCAGCATCAGCAAGTCAACACTTTTTATATTAATAATGACGGGATAGCAATATATGTCAGTGGTTAGGGAAGACAGGATTGTAGACAAATTCAGTTATACGAACTGACTATTTTAGTATTAATAAGCTGCACAATAGTTCTGTAAATGTCAAGACAAGTTTAGAACAGGAGGTCAATGCCACCGGAGTTAACCACTAAATAAAATATTATGTATTGCCATGTTCTCATTTAGCATTTATAAACGCTGATAATGGGTGAAGTGTGGCACAGGGTATGGAGTGTATTTGTAATGGTGCTCTGTTTGGGCCTTGTGGCCCAAAGAGCCCTGAGCCATAGGTATAGATATAGATATAGAGTATGATATAGAGCCATAGGTATAGATATAGAGCCATAGGTATAGATATTTAGCTTTTGCCCATTAACCAGTGTAGCCTGCCCTGGGGTTGCAGCCTCCAGTTCCCTGCAGATCCACCCCACCAGTCCCAGGCTCTTTCACAGTCCAGCACTCGTTTCTTACGGGTCCTGTCGCCTCCATTGGTATGGACGGGAACTCCTCTCAGCTGGTGGATGTCTCTCTGTCATGGGCATGAAGGGGTGCTGCCCAGAGACAGCACTATCCCTTTAAATGTAGGAATCAATTTAGCAAAGAATAAATGCAAAAGACACAATGAATAGTGCAAATAAAGAAATATATATTAAAGAGAATCAAAGTACTAAAAGATAACAAAACGACATATAATACATATATACAAAGTCACAGAACAAATGTATATAACAATAAAGGACAAGCATGAATAGTGCTGGCAGTGAATACTTAAATAGTCCTTTGATATAAAGGCAGGACTCTGCAGGCACCACTAGTAATAGGTAGGGCACAGATCCAACGTTCACAAGGCAGATATACCAGAAAGCAAGACCAGAGGCAAAATAAATGAACCAGGCTGCAGGGTCAGGATCACTGGCAATAAGGCAGCTAACACGGTACCAGAACACAGGAGCAGGAGGACACAGGAACGAAGACCAAGAGGGCACAGGAATGAAGACCAGGAGGACACAGGAACGAAGGACCAGGAAATGCAGGATACAGGACTAAGGAACAGCATGCAGGATCAAGGAGTCAGGAGTCAGAATCACAGGGAACCAGGAACCAGGGAAACAGGAGACAAGGATCTGACAAGGAGTGAGGGGAGAAACCAAACTATATAGGTGCTAAACAAGGACCAGGTGAAGTGCTAATGAAAAGAAATTACAAACAGTGCCAAACAGAGATAGTGGTGTGAATGGATACTGCACAAGGGAATATCAACTAAGGAGTGTGTCGTGACAGTACCCCCCCTTTAAGGAGTGACTCCTGGCGCTCTAAACCCCTAAGTCCCCCCACAGGTGACAGAAGAAAACCCAGGTCACCCAACCTAATGGGGAAAACAAGGAGGAGCCTTAGGAGGAATGACAGGTGGAAAGTCCCAAGGGAAAACCAACGAGGCAGAGTAGGAGCATAGAAAAGCAAGGACCGTAGAGCAGCATAGAACACTAGGAGGGCAGACACATAAACAGAAATCAAGGACACATACGATAAGGAACTCTCATTACCAGTGATTGACAAACGTGCCATCCAACTAGACCTGGGGCTATTGCTGAAAACAGGAGCATTACTCAGAAGCCCTGGGTCTGACTTCGTTTCTGGCCTGTATGATCCTCGGAATAAAGACAGCGATGTAACTTCTTCCTCTCCAATATGCAGGAAAGTATTAAGGGAAGGTTCCCTTGATTTCTCGTAACATGAGGTTTCTTGAAGTAGGGATGATTCTTGCTCAGGTGGATGCAGATCCTCTTTAGCGGATAGAGATACCTGGTCACCCAAATCATTCTATTTGTTGTTTGCGTGCTCAGCTTGAGGTAGTTCTTTAAGTGATATAGAAAAACTCTCAACTGAAGACACTTCTTCCTTAAATACTTGCTGAAGTCTAGTTGGTTCTTCAAGTGAGGAACCTTCATTACTAACCGGACTTTGTACTTCCTTAACGGATGAAGATACAGGGTTAGTTACTTCCTCAGCACGTTCTGATATGTAATCTTTTCTTCCAAAAGGGACCTCCGATAACATTCTCATAATCTGATCAAATAATTTTGTAGAGTCCAATTCAGTATTAGTCACGTCATTCAAAGATTGCTTAGTAGAAAAATATTCCACATTAAGGCTCAGAGTGTCTGATCCGTGTAAACACTCAGACCTAAAGACTCTAGAATGGGAGGTAGCATCAGTATCATTTACCTCATCTGTGGTCTTGAGCATGTGGTCATCATTAACTGTAGAAAGTTCCATTTGTGGAGTTGCATAATATGGGTTCTCTTTCTCTTTCTTGTCCTTCCTGCACTTCAGCCTTTGTGAGGCACAAGTCGTCTTCCTGAGGCAAAGGTGAAGTGACAGACATCATGGCAACTGATGAGCCATAGAAGGAGCTTCCTTCAGCAAGGGAACAGGTACCAGATATGTGAATGCTACCTTCTTGTTTGGTTTCACTCAATTAATTTGGAGTTTGGTTAAGCGGCTGATTGGAAGAATCTTGGATGCTTTGTTCAGGTACAAGTGTGGTAGTTTGTGTTTCCTCGCAGCAGAGATTGTTCTACCAGAGCATGTAATTTGAAGAACAGTATTAGACTTACATAGAACTATAGAGTCTTCGTCAGACTGTGGGTTCTGAACAAGCCCGGTCATTTAGATCCTTTTCTTGGGCTTGATCCATCACGAGTTTGTCACGTTGCACCAAGTCTGACTCTTTGTATTCCACTTGAGGATGACAGTCTTCTTTACTTGGTGACAACTCATTTTTCACAGTTGCGGTTGTAAGAGGGGTGCCAATCTTTGAACCCCCAAAGGCAGAAGGGTTAAAATTGGAATCAAACCTCTCCACATCAAAGTCGTGAGCTGCCTTTGGCACAATAACCTCCTCTTCCATTGGTTGCTCTGAAGCCTTCACCTTAGGTTTTTCAGCATTTTCAGACAGTGTTTTGGAAGAACTAACAATTGGCCAAAGGCCCTCTCAATGTGTTCCACATTGTAGGCCCCGAGCTCAGAGGTCTGTACAGTGACCATCTTTACTGTAATCAGTTCTTTAGGCTGGGACACCCAGAGCAGCTCTCCATCTCTCATTAAGTTGTGTGGTGCTCACAGTGCAGACCAGGATGGTCCAAAGAGGTGTGACGGCTGTGATTTGTCTGCTTTGAGATACACAGCCAGCGTCCGGAGATCGGTCACCGCAGACCCGTTGTTTTGCAGGATACGATAGGATAAATCCGGCCCACCTCAGAATAGATTGCTGAGGCCGAGGGATAGATAAGGCAAAAAGCGGTGTTTATTAGAGAGCGGAAATTAGGCTTTAACAGTGCACAGATGAGGAGATCTCCAAAAATGCGACCATCTGTCATGAAGGATAGGCTCTGCCCCCTCGCAAATACATTTTTGTTAACCTGGATAGGTCCCCTTAAATGCCCCTAAAGTGGGTGGCCAGGCTGACTAGCAACTAATGGTTCTAGTGTCCTGTCCTCTCCTTCGTCATGAAATCTGCCCCACAAATTTACGTTGCTGTCCCAGCAAAGTCTGCTGGCATCTATGGGCTGCTTACTTATTAGGCTGGAAGGGTTTGCAAATATTGGGCTTGGAAAGTAGATCAACTACCATGAAGGTTACTAAGATTAGACCAACATTTGGTCTGGTCACACCCACTAACTCACATCAACACAAAAATAGATTGCATGTTAAAAAAGGATACAACGCATGGTGCATACTGTGTATATTACACATTAAAATGCAATATAGAAAAACAGCCAGAGAGAGTAGGGTTGCCCGGCCTTTACCTTTATTTAAGCTAGGTCCCTCAATCACTAACAATATATGAAAGGGTTGTACACCACAATGCGTTCTTGAAACAATACTTCACCTTTCATTTTTCTTTTAGATGAAAGGAGATCACCCACTGTTTATCTTCAGCCTTGTCCCATAAGCATTAAAGACAAATTCAATATTTCCTTAACTTGGATTCCAAGTAAGTGTTTCCTGCATTTTACTTGCTTTTTGTAAATTATTATAGTAATCTAGTGTTCACTAAGTCACAATTTAGTGACAGGTTCTGATGTTCTGATGTTGCAGCTATTGTTCTAGTAGACTGCATAGAAACATAGAAACATAGAATGTGACGGCAGATAAGAACCATTCGGCCCATCTAGTCTGCCCAATTTTCTAAATACTTTCATTAGTCCCTGGCCGTATCTTATAGCTAGGATAGCCTTATGCCTATCCCACGCATGCTTAAACTCCTTCACTGTGTTAACCTCTACCACTTCAGCTGGAAGGCTATTCCATGCATCCACTACCCTCTCAGTAAAGTAATACTTCCTGATATTATTTGTAAACCTTTGCCCCTCTAATTTTACTGACAAGAAATTGTAGCCTTGGACGCCAGAGATTGCTGCCTGTTGCGAGTACACAGTACATTCTATCACTATCGCCCAATTAACATACAATTTTATATTACTGCTAATATAAGCACTAACTATTTTTGTTAGTCACAGATTGCATGTTTAATTTTCTCTTTTCTTTATACTAAACAGTTAGCAAACCTAATTTCAGTCTATGTCCTCTTGTTGTGGTAGTTTTTCTTCTTTTAAGTATAGTCTCCTCCTTTACTGTGTTAATTCCCTTTATGTAGTTAAATGTTTCTATCATATCCCCCCGTCTCATCTTTCCTCCAAGCTATACATGTTAATATTCTTTAACCTTTCCTTGTAAGTTTTATCCTGCAATCCATGAACCAGTTTAGTAGCCCTTCTCTGAACCCTCTCTAAGGGATCAATATCCTTCTGAAGATACGGTCTCCAGCACTGCGTACAATACTCCAAGTGAGGTCTCACCTGTGTTCTGTACAATGGCATGAGCACTTGTCTCTTTCTACTGATTCATGATTCATCCTTTGACTTTTGAGTAGTTTGACCAAAACCAGGTATCATTGAGGCACCCATGATCCCAGCCCCTGCTTCATCATTGCTAATGTGAAAGTTATATCAAATTTTATAATTTTTTAAATCCATTTTTGGATGGGATTAATTAGCTAAGCAGGTTTGCTAACTGTTTAGTATAAAGAAAAGAAATTAATTAACATGCATTCTGTGACAAACAAAAATAGTTAGTGCTTATATTAGCAGTAATATAAAATTGTATATTAATTGGGGGATAGTTATAGTATGTACTGTGTATTCGCCACAGGCAGCAATCTCTGGCGACCAAGGCTACAATTTCTTGTCAGTAAAATAATTTTAAAAATGAACTGGTCCAAATCATTGTTGTATGGGGATAGTACAGCTTTATGCCTGCAACATTTGATATTTAGTAAAAGCTCTACACTTGTGAGTGTAACTCCCATTACTTAGCACTATAGTCACTTTATGTTACGTATACTGCACTATTGGATATTATTCTTGTCTTTACTTTTATTTCATTGTAACCTATGGGAGAGAACATGCCTTCACCCATACCCATTAGTGGGGATTGCACACTACGATGTCACTATCAGAGCTTGTATGATAACTCTATTACATGTGAGTGAACACTTATGCATTTTATGTTGTTTGTTATCCACTCAGTGTATTAAATACTACGTCGTCAGTATCCACTTCAGTTTTTTTTAAATTTTTGCAATTGCACATTATGAGGATAGATTCAACCGCATAAGATTTGAGGTCATCAGAAGAACACTGGGGGTATTGATACATTTTTTAAATTTATATTTTAATTCCAGTCTGCCTGTTGTTTTCATATATTAATGATTTGTCTATTACGCTTAGTTACTTATTTAGGCACGACCTGTTTTCCTGTTTCTTTTCATGCTGTTTCATTTTGTTGGGACGTAGAGGGATCCTTTTTCTCATTTTATGCTCAATTTGGTATATCGACTTTACTACTTTTCAGTACTTATCCATAGCCTGTATATCAAGTATTAAACTATGTAGTAATATTTTGGGGGGAAGATCGGCAAACTGGCAATCAAACACTAGTTTGTGGTGAATTTAGTTGCACAAAAATATCCAACCTAACTTTTCTGACATCCAAAATTATTTAATTCAATTCAAACTAGCCAATACATTTTAATTTTAAGCAAGATTAGCTAGATAGTTGAGCTGAAGAATTGTTCTTACTTAGCTATTTTAACCTATAATAAATGTATTGTGTATTGTGTGTAGATCCCCATTGTAAATCAAAGGCAGAATAAGTTAGCACCATACAATTCTTTATAATACTAATAATGCCCACTGCCCAAAGTCCTGGAGGGAACCCGTCTTACACATGAAAAGGGCTGTACAATTGTATTAACCCTAGGTTTAACTGTCTAGTGGTTAAAAAAATAATATAGATCACATCAAGGTGTTATGTGTTCATACATGTACATTTTAAATTACAGCAATGGATTTACACAGATTTTCAGTTGATGTTAATATCTGGCATCAATCAATGAAAGTTTCCGAGACAACAACGGTCTTTTGCTCAGGAGATTATGATGAGTATGATTTTTGTGGACAATTAAAAGGAGGTAGGTAGACTGTACACATAACCATGTGTTATTTTTAGTCTGTCGTTTGGGCTATTTATCCAATAACAAACCTTAGCATAAAAAGAGTTATTCTATAATATAAAGTACGTTCAAAACTATATAACAAGTGAATCCACTTTTTATTTTAGGAATGCAAATTGAAAATACAATGCCATCAGAATTCAAAACCTTAGGACCGTACCTCTCAACATTGGGAGTTTTGGGAGGTGGGTTGGGTGGATGGTCCTTCATTGGGGTGTTGCCAGTGATGAAAGTTGCACCCTGGTAGGACCCACTGAAAGAAGCTTGAGCCTCCATGATCAGGATGACCAGACGGTTTTACCGGGATAGTTCAGTTTTTGACGATGTGTCCCAGCATCGCAAACCTCTTTTTAGGATGCATAAATATCCCAGTTTTTGGTCGATAGGCAGCATAGGACCCGTTTGATCGTTGGAGGGGAGCACACTGCACAGTGCTCCCCTCCTGCTGGTCTCAGCATTTAGAGTGCTTGAGTCATTGACTGCGGTAGAGGAGCTTCTGTAACCTCTATCCATTCTCATATGAAGGGCTCACAGAGAGCACTGAATTGCTTCATGTCAGACCGGGGAGAGACTACAGAAGCTCTTCTACCACGTTCTGTGTGGTTCAAGAGGGAGATGAGCGTGCATCAGTGGGGGAGAGACCTTAAAGCTGAGTTGGGGGGGGCAAAATAAATGAGGGGCTGGGGACAAAAGAGACAGACAGGGGCTTGGAGGGCAAAAGAGACAGACAGAGGCTTGGGGGGACACAAAGAGACACAGAGGGGATGGGAAGTTGAGAAAGAGATACATAGAGGCTGGGAAGGGGAGAATGATACACACAAAAGGGGCTGGTATTATAAATAGACATACAGAGTGGCTGGTGGGACAAAGACACAGAGAGTCTGGGGAAGGGGCAAAAAAGATGGACAGTGTCTATGGAAGAGGCATAAGACAGGGGCTGGGGGGATACAATGAGAAACAGAGGGGCTGGGAGGAGAAAGAGACAATGTCCTGGAGACACAGAGGGGCTGGAAAGGGGAGAAAGAGACACACAAAAGTTGCAGGGGGCAAAAACATAGTGGGGCTGGGGAGACACTGAACTTTCTTTATAGAGATGCATTGATTCAATACATCTCTATGAGGAGATACTGGTCAGGGCAATGTTTGGCTCCCCCTCTGGCCCACCTCCTTGACTGAGATAATCAGAATTGGGATGAAATACATCTAGTAGGATGCACAATAACACATTATTGTTTACTTACTTTTTGCAAGCAATCATGAATGGTAAGTACTATTTGCCCACTGCCAGCAAAAAAACAACAACCCCTTAATGGTGTGAGGGTTAAGTTCTGTGGTGGCGGGCCAGCTATTGCTAGTAGGTCACCATTCTGAAAGATAAACTACTAAAGTGAGCAGCCAGCTTTTGCTGTTCAGTCTCTAAAAAAGTGTTAAACTACCACTGCCCCCACCCCCCAAAACTAACCAGTTAGAGCTTTCACATTTCAAAATGTGGGAAGGCCTTTATAAAGTGGTTAATAACCAGGCTAATTTATAAAAGTGTCAATTTCTATTGATATTTTAAGTTTTTATAAAAAAAGGAGGACACACTCTTCACACACATAAAGCTTTTCAGCAAGCTAAAGTGCTTTAGGGGTCTGGAGTGTCCCTTGAAGTAAACAGAGTATTAAAATTTGTGAGAAGTTACATGTCCCCCATACAGATTGTACGTGCTCTCGTAGACATTCCAGAAATCGACAAGAACTCTATTGTTAATGGTTAATCCTTTGTAACCCAGTGAAGCACATCCTATGAAAATAAGATTCCCCCTGGACCCTAGCCTGCCCCCCTCCCCTACTCCTTGGCATGCAATCACAACATCCACCCCAACATCCACACATCCCAACATCTGCACCAGAAAGAGCTCTGGTGCAAGAATTTTATTGGGCCTCCCTATTACAGGGTTGGACAAAAGGTACAACTCTATCTGTCGTGCAAATCCAACAATGCTTTGACAGCTGTTTTCCAATTTCCTATGTTTGCAGGGTTGTTTTTAGCACTGAGCTGTGTATAGTGCCCTGAGGGTGCCCCCACCCTCAGGGTCCCCCTTCTGCCGGGCTGTGGGGGGAGGAATGGGTTAAACTTACCTCTTTCTCCAGCGCCGGGCGGGGAGCTCTCCTCCTTCTCTCCGCTTCCTCTCCTCCTCTTCGGCTGAATGCGCATGCGTGGCAGGAGCTGCGCGCGCATTCGGCCAGTCACATAGGAAAGCATTCATAATGCTTTCCTATGGACGCTGGCGTCTTCTCACTGTGAAAATCACAGTGAGAAGCGCGGAAGCCCTCTAGTAGCTGTCAATGAGACAGCCACTAGAGGCTGGATTAACCCATAGGTAAACATAGCAGTTTCTCTGAAACTGCTATGTTTATAGAAAAAAGGGTTAAACCTAGCTGGACCAGGCACCCAGACCACCCCACTAAGCTGAAGTGGTCTGGGTGCCTATAGTGGTCCTTTAAGAATTGCAGGTGTTATAAAGAATGCTATTTTTTTCAAGTCCAGGATGTTTATAAAAAGATAGCGAAAAGCTGGTGTCAGGTGCAAGAACACAAGAACAGAAAAATATTGTATGTTTAAAAAAATGTGAGTTTAACTCTTTCAAAGCATGAGTATCTTGTATTATAATCAGGCCTACTGACCATTTGGCCTTTCAAGCTATGTATATAGTAATACTTTAGCTCCATAATAAGAAATACAGAAGTATAAAACAGGACATGAGACTGATGCCCTGTAACATAATATATATAGCTCTGTATGTCTAGGGGAATATTCACTATACACATACTGACACACACACACACGCACATATACAGACATAATGACACACACACACAGACACATACACTGATAGATATATTGTCACACACACAGGCACATACACTGACAGACATGCTGACACACAGAGATACATACACTGACAGACAAAGCCACACAGACACATACACTGATAGACGTACTGACACACACTGACAGACATACTGACACACAAGCACAGGGACATATACAGACATACTGACACACACACAGATACATACACAGATAGACATACTTGACAGACATTCTGACACAGACACATACACTGATAGACATGCTAACAGACATACTGACACACACACACACACACACACACACAGGCACATATACAGAAATACTGGCACACATAGATACTTGCACTGATAGACATGCTGACACACACACTGACAGACATACTGACACACACACAGGCACATACAACAACAGACATACTGACACACACACATACATCCACTTACACTGACAGAAATACTGACACACACACAGGCACATACACTGAAAGACATACTGACACACAAACAGACATACTGACACAGATGCATACACTGACAGACATACTGATATACACACATACATACTGACACACACACAGAAATACACATAGACAGACATACTGACACACGTAAAACTTACATCTTGAAACCCACCCTCCAGTTTTTTACCTTTTGCTTATCTTTACTCCAGTGTGTTCCAGTGGGGCCCACGTGGCAGCTGCCTTGGGCCCCTCATAAGTAAATGGGCCTGGGGCAGCTGCCCTGTTTGCCCCACGTTAAAGACGTCCCTGACACCATGACAGTATAATTTAGAGTGCACAATGAGCGAACAGCTAAAAATTTAAAAGTCATGGGGCACTCATTCTAGTTCCCACTGCCACACAACACACAATACAATAACGGAAATAAACAACACTGAATAGAAATCTACTTTTGTATAAAGAAAGACTCCCTTAGTTGTAGGTAAATACGTATAGCATACTAATTTGCAAAAGTATACAAGTGGATCCATAATGTTTGACATTTAACTTTTACAGCTATATTAGATTTGCAGCTCTGTTGAAGGATTATTATTAATGGGTTGATGAAGTGCACTTGGTTCGTTGTCAAGGGATGACTGTACAGTTTGTTTTTTTTAACTATAAGGAGAAAACAAACTAAAGAGTTCATTAGGGACATACATATTATCACTTTCTGTTAGATGTTATTACACTAATTTAACAACCATAATAGAAATGTAAAATAGAAGATAAAAATAAATTAAATGATCCCCAAAAATTCTATTGAGTCTTAGTTCAGTGAGCCCAGAGGTGGCAGAAAATGTTTTGTGTGGTAGAAAAGTTTTTCCATAAAGTCTAGTTTATTGAAACATTATCAAAATATCCTATTGAGGTTAATTTTAATAGTCTGAGAGAATCTGCATTGGTGTTTGAAAGGAGAATGTTTTATGATGTTGCCAATATGGAAGTTGTGTTTAGAGATGAACAGTAGCTTTTCATATTTATATATAAAAAGATAGTTTATCAGCCTTACAAGTTAAAAAAAACAAAACCTGTTCTTATTAAATTTGAAAATTACTACATGTCCCACAAAGCTCAGCAAAATGTTATACTTGACAATCTCCACTTGTACGTGGATAATCAATACATTGTATACAATAACTGAATGTGATACATGCATGTACCATGAACAATACCCTCCCTACTTTCTTTCTGTACCCCCAACCCGACAATGTACTCTATCTAAAATTCAAAATAAAGAATTTATAAAAATGTTATACTTGAGATAGAATTTTGCTTACTTTCTGGCTTCCCTGTAAATCTAGAGAGCTTGAGGTCAGTCAGGTAATATTTTGATTGTCTCTAATTATTCTTAAAGCATCCCAGCATAATGAGTGTAGTGTAAACATAATTTTATGCAGGTGATTTTTTGATAGCTCTACTGTGATTTTATATGATGTTTAAAGTCTATTGTCATCTTGTCATCTGTTTATTTCCACCTATTAAATTGTTTCTTTAGCCCTGTTATTTGTAAAACCAGATGTAAAGGATTTTATTATTTCTGTTTTTGTTGTTTGATTGTGAATTAATATTAACATATTTTGTTTATGATTTCGTATAAAGCTGGCTTAAAAGAATTAAAGATCAGGATACTGTGAATTATATGAATTGGTGATCAAGTTATAACTTCCGCTGATGATTGATGTTTGTCTTTTGCCCAAAACGCTTTTTCTAATTCTTTATGTTAATCTATGATTGATGTTTATTTGATATAAGTATGGAAATGATCTGATTCAACATTTCAAATAGTGTATTCCTGTTGAGAAAATAGTCTCTGTATATTTGAAATCTGTGTCTGCAGGTCAGATTGAAAATATGCAATATATTTGACACTATAGTCAACAAAACAACTTAATGAAGCCACGTTACTTTGTTTATGCAGCCCTATGCACAACTTACTGTCACGTATTCATCTGCTTATAAAAATGTGGTTTATGACATTTACTGTCCACACAGGAAAAGTTGTGCCGAGCAGCAACCTAATCCACAGAAGGGTTAATGCTGAGCAGCAATTATGCAAACGGGAACCTGGTAACTGCCTTTGGGGTCAAAGGCCGGTTACAGCCTATCAGATCTAGAGGAGGGGTATTTAGGCCCAGTTCTCATCCTGCTCAGTGCCCTGTCGTGGTTTCCCTTGTTGTTGTCCGAGAGCGCGTTATTTATTCTTGTTATTCTGGTTATTTGACTCTGGCATTGTTTTTGACTTCCCTGTTTTCTGGCATCCCTGAAAACTGGCTTTTCCTTATCGTTGTGTCTCTTTCTGTATTCCTTGACCTCGGCTATTCCTGACTATTCTTTGGTACGTTAGTCCGGCTATTCCAAGGTCCGGTATACGTTACCTATCAGTCCTCTGTGTTACACAATTCTACGTGCTGGATCATACTGTAATCCTGACATTACGACAGGGCCATAGATCCTGTAGAATTGTGTAAGCACATAGCTGCTTGCGAAAGGAAGCTGGAGGAAAATGATCATCGCATGGATCAATTTGTCCAGGCCTTCAGTACGCTTCTTACTCGAACAGCGCATCTGCAACCTGTGGCCTCACCTCCACCTTATGTACCTCCACCTATAGTACACAAGGCACCTTCTATCTCCCTATCTCCTCCCCTGCATTTTGATGGTAATATTCAAGAATGCAGGGGATTCCTTAACCAAATGGAGTATCATTTTGAGGCCTCACCAGGATCTTTTCCCACAGACAGAGCTAAAATTGGTTACCTGATGAATCAGTTAAAAGGTAAAGCTTTAGCTTGGGCCAGTCCATTATGGGAGAGTAATAGGAGTGTGGCACACAATTACCAGGAGTTTCTTACGGAATTTAAACTTACATTTGAACCTTTAGGCAGGGAGGACGACGCCTCCACTGCTCTGATGCACATCAGACAAGGGAACCGGTCTATCTTGGATTATGCCATAGAATTTCGTACCCTGGTCTCTGAGGTAGACTGGGCTAATCTCTGCTTTTAAAAAGGGACTATCTGACACTATGCTAGATGAGATTGCTGCTAAAGATCTACTTAACGAGTTCATCACATTTGTTATGCAAATTGATAATAGATTAAGAATCAGAGAGAATACTAGAAATAAGACCAGGCGTATGACTATGCCTTTAACACCCCGTCTCATCGAACCTGTTGTTCCTGACCTTCCTATACAGTCCGAACCTGAACCCATGCAGTTGGGGGTCACTAGACTGTCAGAGGTCGAGAAACAATATAGGAGAAATAAAGGTTTAGTAATGGACATATGAGAGACATTTGTCCGAAGAAACTACCGCACCTAAGTGCCTTAAGGAGACAGGTCTTAGGTTTAATGGAGACGTCCTCTGAAAAGAATAAATATAGACTTCTCATTGATATTTCGATTATTCTTGACAAAAAGCACTTTTCATGCAAAGCCCTGATGGACTCTGGGGCTGCTGGAAATTTCACTTTATCCAATTTGTCAAGGATAATACTATACCTATCAAGGAGAGAGTATCACCCCTAGCCGTTGAAGCTATTGATGGGAGACCACTCTCACAACCATTAATAAAGCATGAAACCTTACCCATAAATATTTCCATTGGTGCCTTACATAAGGAAGAGATTATATTTCAGGTGATTGCATCTCCTTCTTGTCCTATCATATTAGGATTACCATGGCTTAGCAAGCATAACCCTCATATTGACTGGGCTAATGGGGAAATATTAGAATGGGGTAAGGAGTGTAATGAAAGGTGTATATTGCATGTCACCAAAAGAGTGGGCACTATCGAATTACCCACTAGTACACCTCAAAATCCTGAGATTCCTATACAATACCGTGACATTAAAGAAGTATTCAGCAAGACTCAGTCTAATACTCTATCTCCTCATAGACCATATGACTGTTCCATTAACTTACTACCCAGCGCTATGCCACCTAATGGAGCAGTCTAAGCTCTATCTTCTCAGGAGAGTAGTGTAATGGAGGAATATATTAAGGATTCAATGAATAAAGGCCATATACGAAAATCATCCTCGCCTGCTGGTGCAGGATTCTTTTTTGTATCTAAAAAGGATGGTGAGTTGCGCCCATGTATCGATTACAAGGCATTGAACAAAATCACCATTAAAAACGCCTACCCCATTCCTCTTATTGCTGAATTATTTGACAGACTCCAGGGTGTTAAAGTGTTTACTAAGCTTGACCTTAGAAGTGCTTGCAATTTAGTGAGAATCAAGGAAAACCGCGAGTGGAAGACTGCATTTAATACCAGAAGTGGACATTATCAATATCTAGTGATGCCATTCGGGTTTTGCAATACTCCAGCGGTTTTCCAAGATTTCATTAACAATGTACTCAGGGATTATATTTACTCGTTTGTCTTGGTCTATCTGGATGATATCCTTATTTATTCTCCTGACCTCCAGTCTCACTACGATCATGTTAAACAAGTTCTGCAAACCTTGTTAAAATACCAACTTTATTGTAAATTGGAAAAATTTATCTTTGACCAGTCTGAAGTACAGTTTTTAGAATATGATATTTCTGCCTCAGGGTTTCAGATGGATCCTAAAAAAATAGAGTCTGTTCTACAGTGGCCTTTACCAACTGGTTTGAAAGCCATTCAAAGGTTCATTGGTTTTGCCAATTATTACAGAAGATTTATAAAGGGATTTTCCTCAGTAATAGCCCCCATCACCAATATGACATGCAAGGGGGCTAGTAGTATGATATGGTCTAAGGAGGCTATTGAAGCCTTTGAAACTGTCAAACAGCAGTTTGCCTCCGCCGACATATTGATACATCCTGACACCAGTAAGCCTTTCATACTGGAGGTTGATGCTTCAGAGACAGGGGTAGGGGCAGTTCTCGCCCAGAGGGAGAGCCAGGAAACTCTGTTATATCCTTGTGGTTACTTTTCTAGAAAGTTGTCTCCTGCTGAGCGCAATTACGATATTGGCAATAGAGAATTGTTGGCCATTATTCTAGCTCTCAAGGAGTGGCGACACCTTTAAAAGGTTCCAAGGACCCCCTTTTGATCATTACTGATCACAAAAACCTGGCTTACATAGGAGATGCTAAATGATTATCTTCCAGACAAGCTAGGTGGTCTCTATTTCTTTCTCGCTTTAATTTTCTTATAACTTACAGACCTGGTTCTAAAAATGTCAAGGCCGACGCCTTGTCCAATCAGTTTGATACTGAGGCTATACTAGAGCAAGAAACATTCCATATCATTCCCACGGAATGTATCATTGCATACACTGTCCTTTCATTGTCCTCTCCACTGCTTGGCTCCATCATGGAGGCTCAGTCTCAGGCCCCCTGCGGTAAACCTCAGGACAAACTGTTCATTCCATTGGGGGAGAGGGTTAATATCATGAAGGTGTTTCACGACAATGTGTCTGCTGGTCACCCAGGTATTAATAAATCCACTTCTGCTAGTCATGAGGTCATTCTGGTGGGATTCCCTCAGGAGGGATGTTAAGAAATATGTGCAGGCTTGTTCTGTTTGTGCGGTTTCCAAAGTGCCTCATAAACTCTCTTGTGGCTTGTTACAACCTGTTCCTATTCCTGAGGTCCCATGGTCCCACTTGTCCATGGACTTCATTGTTGAACTTCCTAGTTCTAACAGTTATACCACCATTCTCATGGTTGTGGACCGTTTTTCTAAAATGGCTAATTTTATTTCTCTTAAGAAATTGCAGTCATCTCAAGACCTGGTACTAATCTTTATATGAGAAATTGTCCGTCTGCATGGCATTCCTCACAATATAGTATCTGACAGAGGTTCTCAGTGTGTGTCCCGGTTTTGGAGGGCCTTCAATAAACAATTAGGGATTGAATTGTCTTTTTCGTCCTCTTACCATCCCCAGACCAATGGTACAGCTGAGAGGGCTAACCAGTCCTTGGAATTGTATTTGCGTTGTTTCGTTAATAGCACTCAAGACAATTGGTCCGAATTACTACCATGGGCCGAGTTTGCTAGGAACAATGCTGACCATGACTCCTCTGGGCATAGTCCATTTTTTGTTAATAATGGCCGGCATCCTACTGTCTTACCGGCTATTTTTTCTGATACGGCTATTCCTGCTTTGGATGACCGTCTGGCTTCCAAAGTTCAATCTGCTCTGGGAACTGCTGCTAACCGTTTCAAGCATCATGCTGATACACGTCGAGGTGCCAACCCTGTTTACCAAGTGGGTGAGAGGGTTTGGTTATCTTCTCGTAACATCAGGCTCAAAGTCCCTAGCATGAAATTTGCTCCTAGGTTCCTTGGACCTTTTCGTGTCCTTCGTAGGATCAATCCTGTTGCGTACTTTCTGGCCCTTCCGGCCTCCTTGAAAATTCCTAGTACCTTTCATGTGTCCTTACTCAAACCTATTGTGTGCAATAAATATACTGTCTCAAGTGTCCCTCCTCCTCCCTTAGTTGTTTCTGGACAGGAAGGGTATGAGGTCTCCTCCATAATCGATTCCAGGTTTTCTCGGGGCACTTTACAGTACTTGGTGGATTGGAAAGGTTATGGACCAGCCGATCGTTCTTGGGTTCCGGCATCTGATATACATGCTGGCCGCATAATTCGCTATTTTCACATCAAACTTCCTCTCAAGCATGGTCCTGCCCGCCCGGTGGGCGTTCTTCAGGTGGGGAGTAATGTCACGTATTCATCCGCTTATAAAAATGTGGTTAATGGCATTTACTGTCCACACAGGAAAAGTTGGGCCGAACAGCAACCTAATCCACAGAAGGGTTAATGCTGAGCAGCAATTATGCAAATGGAAACCTGGTAACTGACTTTGGGGTCAAAGGCCGGTTACAGCCTATCAGATCTAGAGGAGGGGTATTTAGGCCCAGTTCTCATCCTACTCAGTGCCCTGTCGTGGTTTCCCTTGTGGTTGTCCGAGAGACCGTTATTTGACTTTGGCATTGTTTTTGACTTCCCTGATTTCTGGTATCCCTGACTCCTAGCTTTTCCTTATCGTTGTGTCTCTTTCTGTATCCCTTGACCTCGGCTATTCCTGACTATTCTTTGGTACGTTAGTCCAGCCATTCTAAGGTCCGGTATACATTACCTATCAGTCCTCTGTGTTACACAATTCTACGTGCTGGATCATACTGTAATCCTGACACTTACACAGCCTTCCTAAATACTTCATGTAAAGAGCCATCTAATGTTTACACTTCCTTTACTTCAAATTCTGTTAAATTTAAAATTTCTTATTTCATCCTCTGTTGATAGTTTGCTAGACACTGCATTAGCCTCCTGTATGTAATTAAAGTTCAAATAAGAGAGCAGGAGATAAAAACCCAAGTTACATCTAATTGAAAATGAAACCATTTTGTTTTCATGCAGGGATATTGGTCACAGCCAGGAGAGGTGTGGCTAGGGATGCATAAACAGAAACTAAAGTGATTTAACTCCTAAATGACAGTGAATTAACCCCTTAAAACTGGAGAGCATACTATAACGCCCTATTCTAAGTGGCTCTAAACGCCGCAGGGCGTAATAGTACGCCCTCTGGTTTTCTTACTTACCCGGTCGCCTGCGATTCCACGCCGGCGATCGCGGTTGGGGAGACTCACCTGGGATCCCAGGGAGTCCCCCGCGGCGGATCCTGCCTCCTCCGGCCCCCCCGGCCATGTGAGAGCGAGGTCCTTGCGAAGACCTCACAATCACATGGCCAGGTTAGCTGGCTGCTGCATTGCCAGCAGGGGGACTGCCTGTAATGACAGTTAGTCCCCCTGCTGGCTGAATTCAAATAAAATAAAGTTAAAGTCAGTATAATTTTTTTTATATACTTAGATCATATATATATATATATATATATATATATGCAATATATATATGATCTAAGTATACATATATATACACATATACATACACATATAGATACATATACATATCTAGCTATATATAAAATACAAATAACCGCAAATATATATATATAGATAAATACATATAATTACATAAAAGATTACATTAGTTTACACGTAGAATTTAAATACCCATAAATGCATATATATTAAAATTCTACGTGTATATTTAAGTAATCTTTTAACATAATTATGTGATTTGATTAATTAATATTTGATTGACATGCCTGACAACACAGGGAGAAAGTGCAGAGAATTTAATTCACAAGCACTATATTTGACCCTGTAAATCTCCAAGACACCATAAAACCTATACATAGGGGGTACTGTTTTACTCGGGAGACTTCGCTGAACTCAAATATTAGTGTTTAAAAATGATAAATTGTTATACAACGATGATATTTTAAGTAAAAGTGAAGTTTTTTGCATTTTTTACAAACGAACGGCACTTTTATGGACTATATTATTGTTGTAATATGTTTTACTGTTTTAAAACACTAATATTTGTGTTTAGTGAAGTCTCCCGAGAATAACAGTACCCCCCATGTACAGGTTTTATAGTGTTTTTGAGGGGGGGAGGGGAGCTGTTGTATTCGTGAGACATCGCTGATTACAAATATGTGCATTTTTTTGCAGTAATACCTATCAGTATTATGACATTAACAGCTAAAATGTCAGATGGAAATAAAAATTAAAAAAAAAAATCTTATTTTCTCACATTTTTTTAAATTTTATTCATAATAAATTATGTTCCATATATGAATAGTTAATGATAAATTAAAGCCCTGTTTCTCCTGAACAGAATGATATATAATAAGTGTGGGTGCACTTAATGTGACAGCGGTGAATTACGGTTGAACAGACACAGTGCAAATTCCAGTTTTTGTTTACGTTTTGCTTTGATCAGAACATGTACTATTGACTCCGTCCTGAAGGGGTTAACTAAATTGTCATTATCCAGATTTCATCATCTACTATAGAAATAATATTCTCAAATGTTTGAAGCAATTTTCTTTGTTACATATGGTAACTGATTATGTTACTTTTTAATTGTTTTTCTATGAATAAGTTCTATTTTTAAGTAATATAGTTGTGTGTTCTATTGTGTTGGATTATAAAATTAGGTTGAGGTGGTCTAGCTTAGAGTTGAGTGAACCCGAACTGTAAAGTTCAGGTTCGTACCGAACATTAAGATTTTTGGCACCCGGAGCCGAACACGGACATTTCAGTGTATGTTCGGGTTCGAGTTCGGTGTTAGGCGATTTAATGACGCGTTTTGAAAAGCTGCAGGGCAGCTAATCAACAAGCATTTGACTTGTGTGCCCTTAGAAGCCATCACAGCCATGCCTACTGAGCGGCGGGTGGGGCCCTAAATATCAATAAGGGAGGGGACCTATTGTTCTCCCCCCCGGCCCTCACACCTGAACGGCAGGTGGGGGGCCCTAAATATCAATAACAGGGGGGGACCTATTGTCCACCCCCCCCACTCCCCTTCCCTGAGCGGCGGGTGGGGGCCCTAAATATCAATAAGGGGGGGACCTATTGTACTCCCCCCAAGCCCCCACCCCTGAGCGGCGGGTGGGGGCCCTAAATATCAATTGGGGGGGACATATTGTCCTCCCCCCGGCCCCCACCCTTGAGCGGCGGGTGGGGGCCCTAAATAAAAATGTAACTCCCCCGTTCCAAAAAAATATAACCTCTACCTACCCCCTCATCCTAAAAATAATGAGGGGGGAACCTTATCTAAGTACCTGTAAAAAAAAATAATAATAAACTTACCATTTGATGTCTTCTTTCTTCTAAAATCTTCTTTTTTCTTTGTTCTTTGGAATTTTCCCACGCTGTATAATTTGACTCATAACTCTCTGATTGGTTACTTTCAATCCACCAATCAGAGTGTTGTTATGAGTCAAATTACACAGCGTGGGAAAATTCCAAAGAACTTTCCCACGCTGTGCAAAATGACACAGAGCACTCTGATTGGTGGATTTCAAGCTAACCAATCAGAGTGCTGTGACATCTACCTGTAAGAGCACTCTGATTGGATGGCTCAAACCCACCAATCAGAGTGCTCTGAGCCTAATTGCAGGGTGGGGTAAGGCTTTATAAGCCTTCCCCCGCCCCGCAGAGCTCAGTCTGCGCGGAGCCCTCCATGGGTGAAATTTTTTGTTTTGTTTGTTTTTTAAAGTGCGTCGGTTATTATGGATTTTTATTTGGCCTTTTTTGGGGCTGAAAAAATAAGATTTTAGAAGAAAGAAGACATCAAATGGTAAGTTTATTTATTTATTTTTTTACAGTTATTTAGCTTATGGTCCCCCCTCATTATTTTTAGGATGAGGGGGGTAGGTAGGGTTTTTTGGGGGGATGGGGTGACGGGGGGGTTTACATTTTTATTTAGGGCCCCCACCCACGGCCCAGGGGTGGGGGCCAGGGGGGAGGACAATAGGTCCCCCCCCTTATTCTAATTTAAGGCCCCCACCCGCCTCTCAGGGGTGGGGGCCGGGGGGGGGAGGACAGTAGGTCCCCCCCTCATTGTTATGTAGGGCCCCAAACCGCTGCGCAGGGGTGGGGGCCGGGGGGAGGACTGTACGTCCCCCCCTCATTCTTATTTAGGGCCCCCACCCACCGCTCAGGGGTGGGGGCAAGGGGGGAGGACAGTAGGTCCCCCCCTCATTGTTATGTAGGGCCCCCAACCGCTGCGCAGGGGTGGGGGCTGGGGGGAGGACAGTAGGTCCCCCCCTCATTGTTATGTAGGGCCCCCACCCACCGCTCAGGGGTGGGGGCCGGGGAGGGAGTACAGTAGGTCCCCCCCCATTGTAATGTAGGGCCCCCATCTGCCGCTAAGGGTGGGGTCCGGGGGGAAGGACAATAGGTCCCCCCCTTATTTTACTTTAGGGCCCCCACCCGACGTTCAGGGGTGGGGGATAATAGGTTTTTTACTTTTTAATTTTTTTTACAGTGAGCAGCCACTGGCCGCTCACTGTTTACTAGACACGCCACTACTCGAAGTATAGCGAGTAGGGCCTGAATTTACTAATACTAAGTAATATTTACTTAGTATTAGTAAATGTGGCTGAAAGACCAATTTAGGTCTTTTAGTAGATAGCTCCCTAATACCGTGGGAATTAGAAAGTTATCTACTAAGCGGCTGCTTATTTTAAGTTATTTTAAGTGATTTCCCTATCCACATTTGTTTACAGGGCACTTGTCATACTCTTGCCCCCATTATACTTCCTTTTGCAGCCCTCTAGCCCTTTCCAGGACTTTTTTAGAGCCATTTTTGTGCCCAAAAGACGGGTCCCCATTGACTTCAATGGGGTTCGGGTTCGGGGTCAAGTTCGGGGTCAAGTTCGATCCCGAACCCTGACTTTTTTTCGAAGTTCGGTCAAACCCGCCGGACCCGAACATCCAGGTGTCCGCTCAACTCTAGTCTAGCTGAAATTGTTAAAAGATTATTTTCAGTTGATATGTTAAGGCTTTGTGCTTTGTTCACCCGCATGTTGATTTTCATTTGTATTACCTCTGCTGGACATTCATCCAGTGCACTTCTACCACTTCTGTAATTGTCTGTCCAGTATAATACAAGTATGAGTCATATGAGAATGGAATATTCAATTATGCTGTTTATTATGATTGATAAATAATATATAGTTATGACCCAAACCAAGTAAACAGGTGTGTTGTGTATTTCCATGATTGAATTTTTGTTGTGTGGCAGTTGGAACTAGAACGAGTGCTACATTACTTTTATGTGTTTGGCTGTTCGCTGATTGTGCACTCTATATTATATAGTCATGGTGTATTGATGTGCCATAATAAGATGTATTAATCACATACCCCATTTATATCCAACATTATATTATCCTAATGACTTAAATCCTTTGCACCACTTTTCAGAACAAAATAATCTTAATACACAATGCATAATTATCCACCATAAATATCGTGGTGGTCAATCTAGACTATAAACTCAGTTTAGATTAAAACTGTTTAATTGATTTGTGAAGTGCATCACTTTCTAAAGTGGCATACACATCTATAAATGGCTAGTTAAATAATTTCTAGTTTGTATTTAACAATAAATTAGACTGTGCCAGTGAACACTGCATTATTCGTTTGTGCCTTCAAGTTATTCTTCTATTCTTACTTTCCAAGGAGGCAGAGATATAAATATAACAATGTTTGTCTTATTGCTATATTTACTTCTGTTCTGAAAATATTTTTTCATCATTTTCCCCCTAGAAACCATGCACTTTACGATGGAAAAAAGCTTTGCTAAATTTCCTAATATGAAGGTATTGTAAAATTTACTGGTCAGGAATATTGCTGAACTTTTAAAGGACAACTGTCATCTCAAAATTTTTTTTGTTAATTATATGTACAAACTTAAAAAATCTCATCCCTACCTTTAGTATATTACAGGATTCTTCAGCCATATACATACACATGGGCGTCCGCAGGAATTTTCCAGGGGGGGGGGCATAATTGTAATGACATCCATGCTTGGTACTTTTTTGAAAGTGTCATGAAAGGGAAGGGGCATAGCCATTACCACATAAAGCCAGGGTGAATAGCGTTTTCACAACTATGGTGTCAGGAATATATGTTTGTATTCCTGACACTATAGTGTTCCTTTAAGCAAATTAAAGGACCATTCTGGTCACCATAACAACTTCACCTAAATGAAAATGCTATGATGCCAGGAAGCCCCTGGGTGCTCGCTTTCAAATGTTTTAACCTCAAAGGCTTCCTCCAGCTCCAGGTCGCTCAGTGGTATTTGGCTTCTGAAACAGAGTGTCAGGAAGTGCAGATTGACGTCAGGCATGGGTGCCGCTGATTGGCTAGAGTGGACAGTTGACGCTCTAAGCCAATCACTAGTTCCCGGTTCATAAAATATTTTTACTTTTTTATGAATGGGGAGCTACTGATTGGCTTAGAGTGCCAGCTGACCGCTCTAGCCAATCAGCAACACCTCTACCCAACGGCACTCTGTGCTTCCTGACACTCAGTAAATAAAAGTGAACACATTAATACTGATATTTTTTACCTTTGGAGATGAGAAGGTCCAGCGCTTCCCTGCCTGGCCCAGGTACCAAAGCCTTATGATGTGGTGTCCAGAATA